GGGATCCGAACCCTTGGCGGGAGCGCCGCTGCACTCCCAAGCGCCGCACTCTACCGAGTGTGCCACCGGGCCGGCTGTGTATACTGTTTTTAATAAAAGGAAGAACTTGATCTCTTCTTCAATGTGACTGAAAAGTGAGCTGTAAAATCAGGTGAGATCACAACTCTATCTAAAGAATAGTGGTGTTCTATATTTAACCTACAGCACTAGTTCTTATCCGGTTCATCCTTGGGACTTCAAAATAAATACAGATATCCAGGAACTACGCTAGACTAGTTGAATCAAAATCATTAGGGGAGGTACCTGAACATATGAGCTTTTTAAAAAGTTCATGATTTTGATGCTGGACCCTGTATGGAGCTCTCAAGTGGTGTGCCTCATGGAATGTTCTTAACTGTATTCAGTTAAATTACAGGGAAGTAGATTCCAGTTTAAGAGAAAAAACTTTAAAAATAACTTAGAGCTACCCAGCAATGGAATGGTTTTAAAGCAGTGAGCTCCCTGTGGCTGGAAGAATAAAGGCAGAGGTTGGATTACCACCTGCTGGGAATGTTGTCAAGGGGTTTCCAAATCCAATAAGTACTTGGATCACATGATATTTAAGGTTTCCCCTAATTCTTAAGTTTCCTTAGCAAACATTTGCAACATATCACTTACAATGGATATACACACTACCATGAAAACCCACAATTTTATCAGAAATATAATTACTTTGTCTCTAAAACTGATTAAAATTTAATAGTATTAATGGAACATTGCCTCTGACATCAGTTTTACTGAGGGGAATACTTTTCCCCTCCCCTTCGTTACTGGATGAAGAGAAAGGAACTTCTCTCTGCTCCTTGGGAAAGAAGAGTGTGGGAACAAGCTCTCTGAGCATTCATTCATTCCTTCCCAGCAGAGAAGTGTCTTATACAATGGGTGATATTGGGAGAAGGAACTGAGTATGTGTGGCCCAGCACCTGCTGTGGTCCCTAACCTTGAGAGCTAACTGGCGTCAGAATGCAAAGATGGGTTCTGCTCCTGCAAGGCAGAGGCCTGCAGCTCTCTCCAATCAGGGAGAAATATTAGGAGAAATAACTGGAGAAAAAGTTAACTTTGTTTTCTGTTTCAGCTTCATTACTGGTAAAGCTGATATTTTGACCTCCCTCTGACTCCATGTCTTACTTCTCAATTTGTTCCAAAGTGAAGAGGGGAATAAAAGAGTTACATATTGGTGTCCTTAAATCTCACAAGCATCACAATACAGCTATTATAATTACCCATGTTTATGATACTTGTGCTCTGAAAGAGCATTCCATTACTTTTTTCAGTGAACAATTATGTTCCAAAGTATAAAGTACATGTAAAATACAAAAAGAATAAAACATTATATAAAGGCCGTCTTCCTTTACTGGCATAAAAAATTTGGGAATTCTAATTGCTGAATTATCTATCTCTAGGAAGCAATAACATTTTTCAAGTTTTCACTTTATTATTAGGAATAATCTTAGTCATGATCTGCAGAAGTTGGTCCTGGGCAATTTGTAGATAAGTCTTCTTTATCTGTAATTTATGTGAGGAAAATAAAAGATTAATACAACTTTTATGGTAAACTATTGTAGAAAATTATTTCAATATAATATGCATTTTTGATCTGCTATTTTTGCTACTTACTCTGCCAAACAAGCCAGGAAAAGATAAAAACAATAACCAAAATTTTTTCAATTCCAAGTTCAAAGTCCTTAAATACAAATTAGCAAAAGCAGCTTGAGCAAATGTGTTAGAAGAAGCACTTGGCTTTATAAGACTTTTGGCAAGTTTTAAACCATTTATTTCCTTGCAATGAAAAAAATGGAGCAGATTTCAACATATCTCATTTTTTATGGTTCAAGAATAATATTCCATTTAACTACATAAAAATTAAGTTTGAAAACTTTAATATAAATCTTTCAGATATCTGTAGCCAAAGAAAGAATCTTTAAATAATAATACATGAAAAAATTTGTCATCCTCAAGTTATTCTAAAATTGTTTCTTTTGAAACAAAAGACTGAAAAATTCGCTGCTGCACATTCAGTTTCTGAAAAGTTAAAAGCAACTTTAATAAAGGCCTCAATTATTTCTATATTCACTATTTAAGACATTGGTCCCACATTGCCATTTGAATGAAATAAGAAATTTCCATTGTTTGTGGGAAATCTGACTTTTACTAAAACTCAAAAAGCATTCATGTTCAATATTTTTAAAAAGCATAAATTTACCTTCTTACCTTCGTAGGCTGTTCCACACCAAATACAATACAGATGTTCTTCTCTTAAATAACTAGTCAGTATTTGTAATTTTTCCAGTACCTAGATATAGGACACAAACATGTTAATAGTTCACATTTAACAGAACCTTGTTTTCTGGTCTCTTAGATCAGGCTGAATTAGGATAAGGCTATAAATCTTCCGCTGTACTCTCAAACAGTTATTAGAGGTGTCAAGGGCAGGAGTAGTATATTTGAACATGTTCCACTTTACTAACCACCCTGAGATTTTCACAAGTCTGTCAGACACAATGGAGACCACTTGTTAACATTTAGAAAATAGTTTTTGGCTGACTGTATTCTAATTAGCATCCTTTAAGGATCCCTTCTACTTTCAAGGCATCTACCTCCTCCAAATGGGGTGAAGGAAGTTCTCATCAGTAGTCTACCAATTAAGTGTAGCAAAGGCTTTTCATATGTGAATATTCTCATTCAAGTAACTATAGAAGTATATCTTCCTTTCTTAAATAATCTCCACTTTCTTTTGATTGTGTTTTTTGTTTTGTCTTGCCTATGGGTGGGAGAAAGAGGTATGCATTAGAATCACTTCCAGAAGTTTACAGGAAACAAGGTATAAATTAAAATCCTTTACATTTGCAGCCAAATACTTTACATGTACAGTATTTTTGCAGTAAAATACATTAAATTTCATCCAAATGAAGTTGAGGTGAAAAGTCAAACTGAAGCTAATGAAAAAATTATGTGAAAGTTTTGATTCAGGGTTAATAAAATAATCCTGTAATGTAGCATTTCTCAAACAGGGGTTATTTTTACCCTCACAGGACATTTAGTAATGTCTGGAGACATTTTTGATTGTCATAAGGGAAAGTGCAACTGGCATCTGATGGGCAGAGGCTGAGGATGCTGCTAAACATCTTACAATATACAGGACACCCCATAACAAAGAGTTACCCAGCTCAAAGTGTCAACAGTGCCAAGGTTGAGACACCCCACTATGAAGGAAATGGTGCCAAAACATACACTTAAATCTTCGCTCTTATATTCATCCTCATCCTGTTCTTTTTCTTCTTCTTCTTCAGCTTCCTCTTCAAGTTTCAACCAGTACCATGCCTCCCTGGGAACCTGAATATTCTGAAAATGCAGAATTATTCAATTATTGTTTTTTTTTTTTTTTTTTTACTTTTTACTTTTTTGGTGGTTGGCTGGTACACCTTGATCTTGGTGTTATAACACTGAGAATTATTCTCAAGTAAACATAGCTAAGCACAAGACAATCACAAGTATGTTCATGTCACATGAATTCATTCTTTTAATAAATATTTACTGAGTGCTGTTTTAAGAGTGAAGCACTATACCACGAACTATGGGAATGCAAAGTCCAATTAGAATAATATTGTCTCCAAGCTGCTGCTGACAGTCTAGTCGGAAAGATAAGCTATGGGTATAAAATACTAAATATAAGTTAGGAAACCATAAACGTCATGAAATACATTCAAAATAAAGTACTATGGAAATACAGAAAAGTGATAGATTGCATCCAGCAATCTATTTAAATATCAGAGAAATTTTTTTTTTTTTTTTTTTGGTCTTTTGTCTTTTTCCGTGTCCGGCAACGGATTGCAACCCTCAGTGTTGCCCCCGTACCGGACCGGGGACCTGCAACGGGATTGCAACCCTCGGCGTTGCTCCCGCGCCTCGCTCAGCCAGTGAGCGGGAACCGGTCTGCATGTGGGATCCGAACCCTCGGGCG